CAGAAAATCAAAAGTTTAAATACAAAACTGTAAAATTGAAAGGATGCTCTTAAATGGTCTCTTTAAAAATAAAAGCAGAACAAAGAAAATTTGAAGATAAATGAATTCCCACACTTTCTAAGAAAGTAGCACCCTAAAATAACCTTATGGATCCCTCTTGGGAACCAGTCCTGGAGGGGTCATAGAATGAGGAACAATTAAGTGTATAACTAAGAAACTCAATTCATGGAGAGAAATGGAATACATTTACATTTTGAATGTGAGTCAGCCAGGCTTTCCCTTAGTCACTACTCTTCCTCAATATAGCCCTGGAATTCTTAGAGCCATAAAGCATAATTAAAGATATTAAAGGTAACCACACTGGTACTGAGAGGGAAAAAAAAACACCTCTTTATTTGCAGATAATATGATCCTATATGTAGAAAACTCCAAATATTCAGTTGAAATTTGTTGAAACTAATTGAAGATGTTTGTATTGTACCAGGCTATATGTTCATCATACAAAAATCAAGTAGTCTTGTATATTAAAGAAGATGACTATGAAAAGAACAGTGCCAACTACAATAAATACCCTAAAGATAAAATAATTAGGAATAAGTCTTACCAAAAAACAAATGTAGCTGTTCTTAGGTGCCATGGAGTTGTTTTCCATAGCAACCCTGTCCACAAGAGAACAGAACACTGTCCAGTCCTGTGCCATCCTCACAGTTATTCTCATGCCGGGGTCCATTGTTGCAAGCACTATGTCGGTCCATCTCAGTGAGGGCCTTTCTCTTGTTTGCTGCCTTTCCACTTTACCAAGCATGATGTCCTTCTCCAGGGACCGTCTTCAGACTCCCTTATTCAATGTCCAACTTTCATATGCATAAGAGGAAATTGAAAATACCATGGCACAGGTCAGGCACACATTAGTCCCTAAAGTAACGTCTTTATTTGTCCATACTCTAAAGAGGTCTTATGCAGCAGATTTACCTGATGCAATACATCTTTTGATCTCTTGACTTCATCCACGAAAGATAACAATCTTAACAAATTCATCCTTTGTTCTCTTTAGCATAATGCTGCCTATTGGCACAGTTGTGAGGATTTTGGTCTCCTTTATATTGATTCACATTCCATAAGGAAGCCTACAATTCTTGATCTTCATCAGCACGTGCTGCAAATCCTCCTCACTTTCAGCAAGCAAGGTTGTGTCATCTGCATATTGCAGGTTGTTAATAATCCTTCCTTTAATCCCGATGCCACATTTTTTCTTCACTCCAGACTTTAATATATATTATACAACCACAATAATAAAATTAGCTTGGTATTGGTACATTGACAGAGATGTGGACAAATGGATTAGAACAGAGAACCCAGAAATACAACCAAACACTGATAGACCCCTGATCTTTGATCAAGGACTAGAACACAGTAAGTAAGGAAGACATAGCCTCATCAATAAATTGTGCTGGGAAAGTTGGGTCTCCAGCTATTAAAGAAAGAAACAGAACATATACCTTGAACCATGTACAAAGACAAGCTCAAGGTGGATTAACCTGAATGTAAACCTTGGTGCCATATGGACCATCAATGCAATAAGGGCAAATTTAAGGTCCCTGAAACTTAAATAAACTATGCAGAAGTACCTGACCATGCATAATGCAAAGCACCCCACTAAAGAATACAAAATAGAAGCCTGGGACCTTCTAAAATATGACACTTATGTACATTAATGGACTTCATCAAGAGAGTGAAAATAGGGCCCACAGATTGAGAAAGAATATTTGGCAGCGATATATCAGATAAAGGGCTACTTTAAAAACATATAGAAAATCACAATTCCTCAATAAGAAAAATGAAAATAACCCAATGAAAATGGGCATAAGAC